GAATACTCCCAGATAGTGGATCGTGGGGGGACTAAGTACTTTTAAGTTTCCCTGATCATTATTTTTAATTCAAACATATTCAAGCTGTCTAAAGTATTTGATTTCCTGTTAGATGAATTCTAACTTGTGATTTTTTCATGTCTATTTATAAATTGCTAACATTTTTACTAATCTTGATGTATTTACAATTAATAATTAGTAGGTTTGATCCCATTTTTGTGAAAGGTGCTTATTTCGTAACCTTAGTTGACAAGGATGGGAATTTTTTCACAAAAAAAGGATGAAAGATAATCCTAACGGTATCTGATGGTTCATTTCTAAGTCTATTCGACAAACTCATCCTACTGGAAAATATCCATATTATTACATTGTGAAAATTTATTCTATTGTACATTTAAACATTAATTAGATCTAAATGCTCTTTCAGTAATGTGACTTAATTATTGCAATTCCTCTCTCAATATTTCAAGTCTCAAATAGATCTGACTTGCACTGAGCTCTATTGTCTAAGGCCAGTGACTTTGAGCTCCAAAGTTGTAATTTTTGTAGTCACAATATTTGAAAGATTCACTTTGTCATTACTCAAAATTCAGATAACAGGTACAAATAGCTGCAAAAAAAATCCGAGCACTGTATAAGAAATATATAGTAACGTGTTTTCATGAATAAATGCTCCACTTAAAGAAAGGTAACAAGGTAAAGCAGCAGCTTTTTTGTTAAAAGCATTCTTGGTTGGAAATCTTACATTTTCGTTTGACACATTTAAATGCAACTACATGCATTCAGTTATGATACAATAGGCAATTTAGAGAGGAGAACATTAATCGCTATAGTTCAAATCCTCAATAGATTGCTTGTTGCTGAGATCGTCAATTCAATTTCTGCTATGCTGGGGTGCTTTCTAAAATATGAATCATCCACTCACTTGATCCAACTTGCATTTCTTAGAATTTTGAAAAACCCTCTTCATGTATTAAATAATAGAAATTGCAACCTATGTCGAAGGATTCTTTTCCAACATGTGTACATTTTGCTCTACATCTTTTATTTAAGCTAATAAAAGATGCATTTTAGAGTAATTCACTAAATTTAATTAAGTTAATCTGCTAAGAAATCAAAATATTCATGGATCAAACAAATATGCCAATTTAAATATATTTAAATCATATTCTATAGTATTTGAATTGAACTTACTTGTTTACATTTTTATATTTTTTTCTATTTATACTATTCTAGATAGTATAATTATA